TTTTTTTTTTTTTTTTTTTTTTTTTTAAAAAGTTTTTTTAGAATGAAGTAAAAAATTAGTAAAGATACTAACATTATGACTCAAAAATAAACCATCAACATATAAGTATATCTTTTTCTTTTGTGTTTTTTAAGGTGAGATGATTCACATTGGTCATTTCTACTTTTTTTTTGTTGTTTTTCTTCAAGGACTAAGATTATCAGTGTTTAGCGTGGAGAAAAAAACAAAACAGAATACATTCAAAATTTAATAACGTACCTGAATAAAATCGAAAGAATTAAACTTAAAAAGTTGAATAACTAAGATGAAGATAGGAAAAAATATATTTTAGAAGTATAAATAGTCTAATTTGACACGAGAATTGAACTTTGAGATATTAGATATGTTAAATATTTGAACCAATCGATATAATGTGAAAATCTCAGTTCAACAAGTGACACACTGAGTGAGTTTTGTTATAATTTAGAGCGAACAATTCGGTTGTGCAGTTATCTTCTCACAAGAAGACAAGAGAAAACAAAAAAAGAAAAAGAAAAAAAGACGATCATCATCACAATGGAGACTCTAGTTATCCCGTTAATCCTTGAAAAATGTCAACTAGTTATTCTCTCTTTTTTTGCTATACTCTTAATACGAGGTCACTAAAAAATTTAGAAATAAAAAAAGTATTACATAAAAGAGAGCATATTTTAAAGACGGAAAAAAAAATAATAATAATAAAATAAAATTAGAATTGCACAAGTGTATCATATCAAATCAAATACACCTTCGATATGTATAATCAAGGATGATGTCCACGTGTACACATTCGACAGAAACTATTTGAATTTCTAACAATAGCGAATAATTATTAGCCATTGTTGAAAAATTGTCTTCTTTTTCTTTTTCTTTTCTTTTTGTTCGATATTATGATAAAATAACATTTTAAATAAAATAATATTCAGATATAGTAGAAACTTTAAAAATTAAACAAATGAATTAAATTTTTTGATAATATGAAAATAAACAGAGTGAAAAAAATATGTGTGAAGAATATTTTACTTTGATCTCAAATTACTTTCAGATAAATATAGACAAATCTCTCTCTATTAATATGAAAATATGAGAAGAGGATTAACAGCAAATTCCGCCTTTCTTTTTGTTGTGATGACAAAAGAAATCAAAAAAAAAAAGAAAAAAAAAAAGGAGAAAGAAAGACCGATGATCACAATAGGAAAATGTTTCTGTTAAAAAAAGTCTCATTTTTTTTTTTGTTCGCAAAAATTGCTCAGTTTAAATTCATCTTCCTCAAGTATACGATGTGTGTACGTTTTTGATACACCTACTATTTATTATCTCTTGTAAAATTCATTTAAATTCGTGTATTTTCTTATCTCTCTCTTCATACTCATAAAATCTTAATTTAAAACTCAGTTTTTGCTGAATTATATGTTCAAGAAAATCAAAAACGAGCGTGTGATAGAAATGTTTTGTAAAATACTTATGATAATTCCACTCTATTTTACTCTCATCTTTTAAATATTCTATATTTTTTATCTTACCCGTTATTGTTTTTGGTCTTAACGTTGTTGTTGTAAAATCATATGTTGCCGTATTTCGATTCAATTGTTGTTTTAAGTTTTTACTATGTTGTTCATCTAAACTTTTTGATCTTATCCGACGTAATAAATGAAAATGATGCCAACGTTCATGTCTTCTAATTAATGACATAATATTAAATTATTCATTTACAATATACGATTAATTATAATATTCTACTTATTATCATTAAATTATATATACATATTTTATATGACTAATCAATTATTAATCATTCTGATTCAAAAAACATATTATCTTGATTATTAATTAGATATTCTACTTATTTGTTACTTATTTTACATAAAAAGCTCAAGACAATGAATGACGATATAAACAATTATATATTTAACAAAATATTCATTTCTTTTTTCAGATTTTTATTGATCATATCGTTTGTTCGTTGTACAAAGATTTCTTAAGTACTACTGTAACGCCCAAACGAAAAAAAAAGAATTTCATTCTTCTCCTTCGTCTTTAGATACACACCTGTATGACGAACGTATCGACACACACTAAAGAGTTCCTTTTCGTTTTCTTTCTTACTTCTCCAGAATATCATACGATATTGTGTAACATATATATATAAAATTCAATATCATGATTAAAGTTTTATTTTCTACTCATTTTCTCTTTTCTCTATATTTTAAATAAAATATACACCGTGTTTTCGACTAGAGTAAGAAGATTCAAATTTTGACAGACAATCAGTAATCTGCTCAACACTTTTTGACACACGGTGTAAAAACTCTTTTCGGATGTGAAAATTTGCCAATTCAAATCCGAAATGGTTATAATATGTTTAATTTCTATCTTTTTTCGTCATATAGAAAAAATGTATTTCATATAGTAATTGATTTTTCAAAAATAATATTTTATTTACACTTACCAATTAATGGTATATAATTAGATGTTAAAGAATAGATGGTGCCAATTGTAGTACCGATACAGTTTGCTAATAAAACATAATTATCAATAACTAAATCCTAGAAAAAAAGAAGGAATAAGATAAACATTGAAACAGACGTATTTGTAAGCAACGATCGTATGGTTTCTAGTACGAAGTGTCGATAATGGTCATATTTTACTTAGTAAAAATACCCCCAACGTACAATTTCCATGTATATATATTAGCTGCATATATATAGAAGAAAATAGAGCATAATGAATTATACTCTTCTCTTCTAATAATCGAATGAATTTTTGAGCAAAATAAAGTCTCATTAGTGCATTATAGTGTGACAAAGAAAATTTACCGCATAGTACGTAAACCTTGTCATATTTACATGAGTGGATGAATAAAAACGTACTATGTACATAATTAAATGAGTCAGAAGAACTGTCTCACTTTTAAATGAAAGACATCGATATTAATGACATTACGAGTAGTTTCATTAGGTGATATACCGATAATTTTTCGAATTAAACATGATTTCAAAGTACCATTTTGATCGTCTACATAATTATAATCAACAACAATACGACAACGCTCAATCGAAGACTGCAGCAATGAATTAAGTCTTTGAAACCATAGATCTTTCATTTCTTTTGTTTCAAATTCGACTACATAATTAATTATTGGTCAGCCAATAATCAACGTTTTTTGTATACCATAACATGTCAATGTTGTCACAGATAGCGCTGATGATGAGAGAGTACCATCCAGATTCTAAATTTCATCAGTCCTGTAATGCGGGCCAGTAATTTCCATTTTTTCTCGGTTCAAGAAGTCTAATTCAGAAGTCGCAACGGGCACTTTTGAGACGAATGTCCGATACAGCTTCTGAAAGAGGAGACTTCAGTGTATCCAACGAAGTAAGACAATCAATTTCGGATTTTTTATTAAAAGTATTGATTTCTGAGGGAGGCTCTTAACTCATATCCGTTGTTCAACGTCAATTCCTCTTTGACTCATATAGCGTTTAATGTTGTTGTATCCACGCTATAACGACTGCCTCGTTGACCGAGAAAATATCGACTGATTGATCCTGATTTGTTACCATGTGATTTTGAAAGAGATTGTGATTGTGTTATTGTCGTTGGATCTTCTAGAATAATAAACATTCTATTATTTTAATAGTACTCGTACTGCATTAAAAAAAAACGAACATTTAAATTAATTGGTTAATGTGTATCGTTATTGCGCGAGAGATTTTCAAACTACCGTCAAATTTCTGGATAATAATTCATTTATTCGTTCTTGAAAAAAAATAAAAATGTATAACTGTATATCATCAAGATCCTTTCTAACTCACAATTGTGAACAAAGAAATTTAGAGAGAGATTCTCTTAATAAACGAATATTCATCTAAAAAATCAGAAATATACATGATAATGTGAAATATGTGTCAAAACATGTATCAAGTTTTTATGATATATTCTCTGATATTAAATCATTAGCAGTCTTATTCAGTTCAGCGATGTGGTGCTAATGCAACTAATTGTAATGATCATGAATTAGCTAAATTCATAGAGGAACAATTTTATATACTAATAGACACAACAAAAGATCAAAATGATCCATTTGTTCGCTGAGAAAAATCTTGTCATTTGGATCTTCGAAGATGGGGCGCTCGTTTCAAGGCTAACTCGCAGCGTCCATACTTCAAGGATCACGAACGGCAGGATGTAGTACAACGTCGCGGAAAATTTATACAACAGTTTTTTGAACAAAATAGGTCAAATTATTTGATTACTGAAGGTGAAAATCTAAAATGGCAACG